TGCTTCGACTGGCTCATTTCCAGTTAACAAAGCAGGCCGTTCTAGGCAGACATCGCCCCCGCCCCCAGCGCGGCAAGCGCGACCTCCGTAAGCGGCTAGCAGAGCTTTCGGGCGAGGGCCCGCTTATCATTCGCGCGCTGCCAAGGGGGGGACCCCGCTCGCAGAATGGAGGTCCGCAGCGCAGCGCGTCTGTCGACGCCCCCCCCCCCCGACTGGCGCTCGTTGGTTCCTCAATGCCGTCGTCAATGGTGAGATTGTCTTCCCTGGTTACTCTAACGATATTACGCGCAATGTTGAGCATCCATCGTTATTGGCCCTATTCTGCTGATGCTTCCGCGGCGCATTTCGATGAAGAGCATCCTTCCTGGGCTTGTCGGGGCCCCCGGGGTGCCATCATTCGCGGCCCCTGGCGCGCCGGCTGCAGCGGCGGGCTGTCCTTTTTCAACTCGTTTACATGCATTGGCCCTTCTCGGTTTGATAAAGCCGCTTCCAACCCGAAGCTCGGCTGAAAGTCCGACGCGCGGTTTAGCCGCGCCCCCGTTGCCCCGTGGGGAACCCGTCCTCGAACATCGAACGCGCGCATGTCGCGCGCTCAGGAGGCGACCGGAACGCGGGCGAGACTGCCCAGAGACCGTGGGCAAGTTTCACCCGAGAGGTCGGTTCGAAGAGCCCTTTCGCGCCTGCATGAAATTTACCGGTGTCTTTTCCTGGAAAAATTGGACCAGTCCCCGAGAGAGCTGCCTCGCTATGGCTGACGCACCTATCCTTTGCGCGCCAGGCATGCGAATCAGGTTGGGACCCCCTCGAAGGTCTCCCCAGTAGCGGAGCGGCGCTGTTGGAAGTGCTTCGGTCCGAAATGCCGAAGCGGCAACTACTATTTCTGCCTCGGGAGTGCCGTGGGAAACGCGTCCCTGTCTCCTGGGCGTCATGGCGTGGTTAACTCTGGCATGGGGTCCTCATATCTTCTGATGTGTAAGACGAGTGCTCCGATGAGTCCGAATCTCGCTTGCAAGGTCGGCATTAGCAAACTGTCTCAGGATGAATGCTCTGGGGGAATCCCACCCGGGCAACCTGCCTGTACTTCCGCGCGGTCTGAATATAACAGGCCAGGCGAAAATAATCAATGCGTTGTTGCAGTGTGTATTTTGTAACACGAGCAGCTGACCCGCACGCAGCTCATATCTTATTTTCACGAATGCCTGGGCGACCCTGGATTGCAAGTTCCCCCGACGGGGCGGGACAAGTGCCTTTCTTTATCCTGGGATTTTTTTTATATATATATATATATATATATATAAACAAAAAAAAACGATTCTCGGTCACCGACCGAAAGACCGACCTCGGCTTTCACGTTCATTGGGTCGACAGGAGCCTCCTCAGCTGGGGGAAAGACTTTCCTCTCGTGGACCTCCCCGCCCATCCTCATAGCAGTCCATACTGGGCCCCAACGGCGTGCCCGCCGCCGGGCAGGTCCGCGGGCCACTGTCCGCAAGTTCAGCGTACAGCGCTACACACGAAGTGAATAAAGCTTCCATGTCGTAGCCGATGGCATTCGCATTGTTTTTCGGGCCTGGAGTGTGCGAGCCCACAGATTCCTCAACCACCGCTCCCACTTTCGTAATATAAGGCAGAATGCCCCAAGGTTTTCCGCAGCGTCCTGCACTTCCTTGGTAAAAGACGATCGTACGACTGGTCACTCCCAGGGGGAATCATTTACCAAACCGATCTCTGACAGACCGAATGCGAAAGTATTCTACTAAGTCTATCACTGCAATACTTTCATCGCCAAGCGTGGTTATACGCGCTACAAAAGTGCCACTCTGGTCGAAGGACCTCATCAATGTCGGCCGGTGGATCACTGCGAAGCCAGACCTGATGCCCATCCATCACATCATGCATTGCGGGGCGAAAAGGAAGCCTTTCTCAAATCATTCCGCTCGTCCTTGCCTCACCCGTTCCTCCTTTCTCTCGGAGGCCCTCGTGGCCTCGGCTGGGTTCGGTTGTTTTTTTGGTTCGCACGCATTCCAGGCCCAGAGGACAAGGGCGGCGGCGAACGGCGCGTGCTCCCCCCGCCCCCTTTCGGGTTTCGACCACATCACAGAAGCCCCCCCCGTAACAGAGCAAGGCCAAACCACCTCCGTCGCGGTGAGGATCGGGAGGGGGTCCACAGGAGAAACAGGAGAGCGGATGCGAAACAGCATGGGGAGGAGCAGAGGAGGAGGAGGAGGAGGAGGAGGAGGAGGAGGAGGAGGAGGAGGAGGAGGAGGAGAAGGAGGAGGAGGAGGATCATGCAAGGGGGGAGAAAGAGGAATGATGCCAGGGAGGACGGCAAGGACGGGGGGGAAGGGGAAGGGTTAAGTGGGAGCAAGGCCCCAGCTTCCAAAAGGAAGTCCCACGCCCTTACGCCCACCGACGAGCCGCACTCAACAAATACGATCGCCGTTTCTCTGCTCACGGAAAAGAGGATACCCGTCGGTCGGAAGAAGTAGGCAAAATCATGAAGTAGGAAGGCGGATGAAGTACGTTGGGTCCAGGCCCTCCCAGAGAATAACAAACACAGCAAAAGCATATCGGCTCTGCAAATATGAGAGCGTCTGAAATAGATGGGGACCTGGGGATCCAAAAATACATAGGTTCAACGACCGGCGTGCAAAAAGCAAGTCGCAGTGTGGGGCGGGCGCTGGCGCCTCGTCGGCCTTGAGCAGATCCTGCGGGCGCCAGCGTGGTGGCCCATCTCTCCCTCGCCCCCTGCCTCCCCAGCCCGCCCTCGCCTCCACCTTTCCTGTTCCCTCCCCGTCCATCCCGCACCCTCTTCGACCATTCATCCTCCATTCGCAAGTTTCCGCCCCTCTTCCCTTTTCCGCACTTCGCCGAGGAGGGGAGGAGAGGGGAGGAGAGAGAGAGAGAGAGACAGACAGACAGACAGACAGACAGACAGACAGACAGACAGACAGACAGACAGACAGACAGACAGACAGACAGACAGACAGACAGACAGACAGAGAGGCAGGCAACGGCAGAGAGGGCGAACAAAAGAGAGAGAGAGAGAGAGAGGACAACACAAAAAAAGATGAGAGAGAAAGGGAGACAACATATATATATGTATATATAACTGTATACATACATATCCCGAATGAGAAAGAGAGAGAGAGAGAGAAAGAGAGAGAGAGAAAGGGAGAGAGAGAGAGAGAGACAGAGCAAAGAAGAGAGAGAGAGAGAGAGAGAGCAAGAGAGAGAAAGGAAGGGACAACTATAAAGAAAAAGAGAGAGAGAAAGACAGAGAAAGAGAGAGAGAGAGAGAGAGACAGCGAGAGACCGAAAGAGAGAGGGAGAGAACGAGACCGACATGCAGACAGAAAGAGAGAGAGAGAGAGAGAGAGAGTGAGAGATAAAATCAGGAGAGGAGAGGGTCAATGGAAGGCCTTTCCATCCCTTTCCTCTCCCCTGCCCCCTCCTTCACTCCCCATGCCTTTGTGTTTCGCTGCTTCTCCCTCGATTCACTTCCCTTTCCTCCCCGCCCCCTCCTTCCAATATCATCATATTTCCGTTCCCTGTTTGCTTTCTCCCTTCCATTGCCCCTTCTTTTCTCCGTTCCCCTCCCCATGCATTTCCATTCCTTCAGCAGTCTCCATCCCTCCTCTACTTTGATTCATTCCTCCGACTTTCCCTTCCCTTCCGTTCCCTCTCCCCGTCTCCCCCGCCCTCTCTCCCTCTGCTCTCCTGGCCCGAGGCGGGAACGCTAGCTGCTAGCTGTGGGAAGCCCCTACTGGTGACCTCGGACGGCTTCTGGGGGCCTCCGAGAGGTCACCGGACGGATGTGGTGACCTTCGAGAGCCTGTGGGGGCCTCTGGAAGGTCACCCAGCTCCAGCCAAGCTGACGTCACCACATGTCGTTTTAGGACTAAGTCGGGCCTGTCCCCCTACAGGGGGATTTTCGACGAAGCATAAAAAATATTCAAAAAATGCACCCAAAAGATGAAAACAATTCAAAAAATAGTCCCCAAGCTATTTTTTCTAATTACTTCTTGACTATTTTGGAGTATGTTTGGAATATGGTGTATTTTTCGTCGAGAACCCTTCTGTAGGGGGACACGCCCGACTTACTTTTAGGACCAGGAAGTCCAAGGGCGCATCCCTGCCGCTGCACGTTCATGGGGTGCCTCGGCCGTCGCTCGTGATGGGCCTCGCCGGGAGTTTCTCGAGGGGGAGGGGGAGGGGGAGGGGGAGGGGGGGGAGGGGGAGGGGGAGGAGGGAGGGGAGGGGGAGGGGGAGGGGGAGGAGGAGGAGGAGGAGGAGGAGGAGGAGGAGGAGGAGGAGGAGGAGGAGGAGGAGGAGGAGGAGGAGGAGGAGGAGGAGGAGGAGGAGTGCCGTGGTCTTCCCCCGGGGCTGCGGCCTCGCCGTCGGCTTCGTGTTTCGGCGGCGGACGAGCCTGCCTTCAGCAAACCACCCTTTGGTGAAAAGGGCCTGGGACCGAAACCGTCGGACCCGGACCCGCGAAAATTCAGGAGGGGAAAAAACACACAGACACAATTAATCCTCGATTCCCAGGAAAATATGGGAAAATATGGGAATTGGGGGGGAAGACAAAAACCCAGAAAATATGGGAAAATATGGGGACTATTTTTATTTGTGTGTATTTATTTGTGTGTCCTAATTTCCCTTTAAAAATGGCGGCCGCGACGCCCTCCCGCGGACCGAGAGAGGCCAATTCGCTGATCGACGCGTCAGGGTAGGAGGTCTATCAACCTGCGACTGTCGATACGAAACGCATGTATTTTTTAGATCGGGCCTGTCCCCCTACAAGGGGATCTTGGACGGAAAAATGAAAAATACCCCAAACATCTTCAAAACATGTCCCCCCCCAGAAAAAGGTCCCCAGACTATTGTTGACTATTTTTGAATATTCCTCCTGTAGGGGGACAGGCCCGTCTTACATGTTTTCGGGGCATTTCCCCTATCCTTCCCCATCTGTTCTGGGTTCTTGTCTTCCCCCCCACTCCCCATCTTTTCCCATATTTCCCTGGGGAATCGACGATTAACTATGTCTGCGTGTTTCTTTCCCCGCTCCCCAGTCCTACACCGTTTCCCACTCTCCTCCTCCCATCTCCTCATTCTCCCCCTCCATCCTCCTCCTCCTCCATTCTCCTCCTCCTCCATCCTCCTCCTCCTCCTCCTCCTCCTCCTCCTCCTCCTCCTCCTCCATCCTCCTCCTCCTCCTCCTCCTCCTCCTCCTCCTCCTCCTCCTCCTCCTCCTCCCTCCACCTCCTCCTCCTCCTCCTCCTCCTCCTCCTCCTCCTGAGTGTCTGGGGCAGCCGCCCTCCGCGAAGCGTGCAGACTTGCCCGCCGGGCTCCGCCGCGCCACGGAGCTCGCTTCGCCGTCGCTGGGCGGGGCGGGCGCGCTGCTTCGAGGCGCGAGGCTTGGCATCTCCGTGTGGGCCCCCCCTCCTGGCGTCATGTCGGGCCCGTCCCCCTACAAAGGGGATCTTGGGCAAAAAACGCCAAATACGCAAAACATATCAAAAGATGCCCAAGAATACTCCAACATAGTTCCCCGACTATTTGTTTGACTATTTGTTTGACTATTTTTGGATGTTCCCCCTGTAGAGGGACAGGCCCGACTTGATCCTGGCGGCGCAGTGCGTTGATAATGGCGTATATACGGATGTAGACAGGGGCTGGTCCACCTCTGGGAAAACAAACGAGTGGGGCAAGTTGACGCCTGTAGCAGCCAAACGCTGCCAAAGAGAAGCTCGCATTCGGAATACGAGGCCGCAGAGGAAAGCAAACGCACCCCTCAGAAGATGTACTGCCTCAAGAGCTTGCAGTACTACTAGACTCAAGCACTGTGCAGTATGCTCGACGTGTGCAGCCACCCAACTGGATACATGAACACGTTGATCGTGGCGTTCCCGCCGTGGCTCAGAGCGTGAATTACCTCCCCCGCTTTCGCTTCCAGGCAAAACCAAGCCATACCACGCGCCTCCTCGTCAAGCGGCCTGACCAGTACAGGCCGCAACTTGGCATCTTTTGGTATCTCTTGGAAGCGAGGGTGGTCAAAAGCGAGGTAGGTTTGTTTTCCCCCGAGTGGCGCTGGTGCGCACTCCTGGGGCTCGGGTCGTCGGCCTCGGCCCTCGGCCCTCCCCTGTCTTGGGCGGGAAGAGAAGTACCTGCGCGGCGTGGCAGCCGTCCTCCTCCACTCGGGTCGGGCGAAAGGGGGGGATAGCAAAGGGGGGGTTTGAGAATCAGCTCACGTAGCTGATTTTCCCGGCGCCTCCCGGCGCCGGAGGCGCCCACGTATCGAGGAATGGGCCCCTCGGTCGGGCCGAAACCAGCTGCATGCAGCAGATTTCGTACCCCCCCCTTTCCCAAACCCCCCCTTTCGCCCGACCCGAGAGAAATACCTGCGCGGCGTGGCAGCCGTCACCTGGCATTTCCCTCCTCCACCCCTCCGTAGCCACTTTGGCTCGAGCGCCTTTCTGCGCCCCGGACTCCTCGCGATGCCGCCTTCGCGCGAGCGGTCGCGCGTCGGAGTCAAGCCGCCCGGGGGGGGGTGGGGGGGGGCCCGGATGGAGCACCCGCCGACTGACGCCCTGCTGACGTGGGCACCCCGCGCCGGAGCAGCTGCGGCTGCTCGAGAAGCCGCCGCCCCGGCGGGGGGGCGAGCTGCCGTGCGCCCCCCAGACCTGCGCGCAGGGTGGGAGGGGCCCCCGTGCCTGCGACGGGACGTGCGCGCACGGCTGGCCCCGCGGCCTCCCCCGCGGCCTCAGAGAGGCCCCGCCCGGGCTCCCAAGGCTGCGGCGGCTCGACGCCGAGGTGCACGCGGCACCGAACCGGCCGGAGGCGCGCGCGGGCAGGCTCGCCGAGGGCCTCGCGCGGCTGGGCCGCGGGCGCGGCCCAGCCAGATAGCGCATATGCTACGGCGCGGCGAAGGCGCCCCTGGGCCTCCCCCCCGGGCACGTCCTGTGGCGGTGGTGGCTACCTCCGCGTCTCCTGGAGACGCGGCTGCTGACGCGCGGGGCCGCAAACGTCGCCCAGCCGCTGCCTATCATTCTGGCGCGGGCTCGGCTGCCGGCGCTCCCGGAAGGCTCGCCGGGCGCGCCCGGCGGTCCAGGCGGCGCTGGCCCGCGGCGGGAGCACTTGGCTCCAGGACGCGGCCGCGGTGGCCCAGAGCTTCTGAAGGGGCCCCAGGACACACAAATAAATACACACAAATAAAACTATTCCCCATATTTTCCCATATTTTCTGGGTTTCTGTCTTCCCCCCCACTTCCCATATTTTCCTATATTTTCTGGGGAATCGAGGATTAATTGTGTCTGTGTGTTTTTTCCTCTCCTGAGCTTCGGCCGCCGCCCGACGAGCTGAAGACCGCGGCGGCGGAGGGGCCCGCGCCGCCCGCCGCAGGGAGGTGCCGCGCTGGGCACTGTCCTGGTTAGTTATTCCGCAGGTGCGAGGAGCGGCGAGGGCCTGGTTTTGCCAGCTGGCAAAGCTCTACGACACGGTGCCGTTGCCGATCGCGGTTGTCTTGCTTGCCCTTTCAGGGGGACGTAAGACCTGGGTACAGGGGACTCGGAAATCCCCGACGAGGTCGTCAAAAAAATGACGAGGCCGAGCCTGCATTTTGACGAGGCCTCCCGCTGCAGACATCCCACGGAACTCCTCCTCGTCAAAATCCGAGGCGCGGTCGTCAAAAAACGATGGCGAACCCGAGTCCCGGCAAACCCGCGTCTTACGCTCCCCCGACCCTTGCGGCATGCCTGGCCAGACCCAGTGGAGGTTCCACCGCGCCCTGTGCGCGGCGCGCGTCACGTCCGAGCTGACGATTGCCATCTGGGGCGCGCAAGTGCCCACTTACCGACCGCCTGCGCCTTGTGCGGGCGCGAGCCGGCTGGGCTGCTCCACCGGCTGCTCGGGTGCTCGGAACCTGATGCGCTCCGCGCCGCTCTGCTGGCGGAATGGGCGCCGCCGCCAGGGCTGGCGGAGGGGGTGCCGGCCAACACAGACAGCCTCGGGGAGCTCGCGGCGAAGGTCCGATACCTGGGGCTCTCCTGCGCGGCGCTGGTGCATGCCGCGCGCAGGCAAAATGATTCTTTCCTCCCACGACCTTCCGCGGCTGCTGCCCTCCTCTCGGCTTGGCCGTTGGCTGTCGTCGTCGTCGTCGTCGTCGTCGTCGGCGGCGGCGGCGGCGGCGGCGGGGGGGGCTGCGTCGTCGTCGCCGCCGTCGGCGCCGTCGTCGTCGTGGTGGTCCTCGTCGTCGTAGTCGTGGTCGTGGTCGTGATAGTGGTCGTGGTCGTGGCCGTGGTCGCGATCGTGGTCGTGGTCGTGGTCGAGGTCGTGGTCGTGGTCGCGGACGTGGCTGTCGTCGTCGTCGGCGGAGGCGGCGGCGGCGGGGGCTGCGTCGTCGTCGTCTCCGCCGTCGGCGCCGTCGTCGTCGTGGTGGTCGTCGTCGTAGTGGTCGTGGTCGTGGTCGTGGTCGTGGTTGTGGTCGTGGTCACGATCGCGGTCGTGGTCGTGGTCGCGATCGCGGTCGTGGTCGTGGTCGTGGTCGCGGTCGCGGTCGAGGTCGTCGTCGTCGTCGTCTTCGTCGTCGTCGTCGATGTCGTTGTCGTTGTTGTTGGCGTCGTCGTCGTTGGCGTCGTCGTCATCGTCGTCGTCGTGATCGACGTTTCGTTGTTGTCGTTGTCATGGTCGCTGTCGGCGGCGCCATCGTCGTCGTGCTCATCGTCGTCGTCGTCGTCGTCGTTGGCGGTGGCGGAGTCTCTGCGCGCAACCAGCATGTGCGGCCCTGGCGCCGACGCTGGCGGCGCCCCCCGCCAACGTCTCCATTCCTCGACCCGTGCCAGCCGCGGTGGTTCCGCGGGCGGCCCAAGGGCCGGTCGTGGCGCCGACGCCCTTGCAGCGCATCCTGCAGCGGTCGGGGCCCCTTCACGAGGAGAGCCACACGCGTTCCGTGCCGCAGGAGCGGCGCTGCCTCCCAGACCCGCGCTGAGACCCGCTCGGGGTCGCGCCCCCGAGGGCCCTCCCTGGGAAGTCGCTGCAGTTCGCTTTCTCTGGGAGCCGAGCTCTTGTCTGCGCGCTCGCCCCCAGGGCCTCCACCTCTCCTCCTCCTCCTCCTCCTCCTCCTCCTCCTCCTCCTCCTCCTCCTCCTCCTCCTCCTCCTCCTCCTCCTCCTCCCTGGAGGTTCGCCTGGACGTCACGTTCCCCGAGGTGTGCCCGGAGCTCCGACGATCCCGGAGGTCGGAGCCCCGCCTCCTCGGGATAAGGCCTGCTCGGAGCATGGCTTTTCCCCGAGCGATGCCTGCGGCCCCGCTTGCTTGAGCGCTCCTTCTTTGAAGGGGAACTGGGACACACAAATAAATACACACAAATAAACAGATTCCCTATATTTTCCCATATTTTCTGGGTTTTCGTTTTCCCCCCCACTTCCCATAGTTTCCCATATTTTCTGGGAATCGCCGATTAATTGTGTCTGTGCGTTTTTTCCCCTCCTGATTCTTGACCCCCGCCACCCCAGGGCCTTGCTCCTGGTGCACCTCCACCTCCCCGGGGACTCCGCAGGGCCCCCGCTCTGGGAGGCGCGCCTGGACGAGTGCCTCCCAGAGCTATCCGCGTCCTGGAGCCCCGCCTCCCGGGCAGCCAGGCCCGACTGCCTGGAGCCCGTCCTCCCAGGGTTTCTCTCTCTCTCTCGCCGCCCCTCTCCCTCTGCCTGGTCGCCTCCTCTCCCTCGCCGCCCTCCCTTGCTAGGGGGAAAACAAACCTCCCTCGCTTTTGACCACCCTCGCTTCCAAGAGATACCAAACGATGCCAAATTGCAGCCTGCACTGGCCAGGCCGCTAGACGAGGAGGCGCGTGGTATGGCTTGGTTTTGCCTGGAAGCGAAAGCGGGGTAGGCAATTCACGCCCTGATGCTCGCCGTCCTCGGCGATGCATCGTGGACGTGGGCGATGCATCGGCGACGTCGGCGTGGAGAAAATCGGGCTCCGCATCGAGCCGCATCGCCGATGCATCGGCGATGCGGCGCGATCCTTCGACACCATCTACTCCGACCCCATCCAAGTAATTCACGCTCTGACCTTGCGCCCGCGCCGACCCACCCCGCAGAGCCCGCCGGACTCACCGCCCGGCGCCCCCGTCCCGCCCGCGGGGGGGGATCGGCCCCTGGGCAGCGCGGGGGGGGGGGCGAGGCCCGCCCAGCGCTGGGGCCGGGCCGAAGGGACCCAGAGATCCGACGTCGTGATTTTTTCCATACGCGGTCCCCAGAAGTCTCGACCCATTCCCCAGGACCGGCTTTTCATCCCGAGTCGTTCTTGGACGGTCCCGAGGCCCGGCGAGGGCCCCTAGGGGCAGAAATTTGCGAAAAAACTCCGTCATGATTTTTTCAATGCGTAGGATCTCTGGGGAGCGCCACGCTCGCCGCGCCCGCCGGGGCCGCCCAGGCCTTCTATAGGGGTGACTGGGGGGGGGGGAGGGGGAGGAGGAGGGGGAGGGGGGAGGAGGGGGAGGGGGAGGAGAGGGGGAGGAGGAGGAGAAGGAGGAAGGAGGAAGGAGGAGAAGGAGGAGGAGGAGGAGGAGGAGGAAGGAGAAGGAGGAGGCCTGGACTTGCAACAGGCGCATCCCTGGTGGACCCGACGAGCCCGCCGTCCCCGCCGCGCTGGCCCACGGGCCCTCCCGGGTGGCAGCGCCCGCGGCGGTGCGCTCGCAGCCCCGACGGGGCCCTCCTGCGCCTCGACGGTGCACTTGACAGTCCTTCTCCTCTCTCCTCCCCGCCCCCTCCCCGTCCCCCCCTTCCCCGCCCCTCCCCCCCTCTCCCCCCCATTTTCCGCGCCCCCCTGCCCTGGCTCGCCCCAAACCCCTCCCCTCCGCCCCTCTCCCGTCACGCCCCGCCCTCTGCCGCCCCGCTCGCCGCACGTCGGCGGCGGGGGGGAGACCGGGCCGGGCATGCTCCCAGAGATCCGACGTCGTGATTTTTTCCGTACGGGGTCCCCAGAAGTGCGGACCGGCTTGACGTCCTGAGTCGATCTTTGGCGCTCCCGAGGCCCGGCGAGGGCCTCTGGAGGCCGAGGACGGCGAAAAAATCCTCCGTCCTGACTTCTTCAGTGCGCTGCATCTCTGGGCTGCCCCGTCACGTCCCGCCCTCTGCCGCCCCCTCTCGCCGCAGTCGGCGGCGGGGGGGGGGACTGGGCCGGGCATGCTGCCCCCTGGCCTTACGTCGGGCGTGTCCCCCTACATGGGTCTTTGGGGCGAAAGCTCAAATACACACCAAGAATACTCCCAACAAATATGCAGAAATGGTCAAAACATCGTCTCCAGACTATTTTTAAAGCTATTCTTGGATGTTCCCCCTGTAGAGGGACACGCCCGACTTATGCGCCTTAGGAGTGTCGGCCGAGACTGCGCTGCTCCACAGGACCATTTTCGGTTCCCGGCGGCACATGCTGAACGATCTTTTCCACCAGGACTTTTTGTCCCCTCCTCTGCGCGCCCCTCGTCGGTACCGTTTTTATCTGGCTGACCTCCTCCTCCTCCTCCTCCTCCTCCTCCTCCTCCTCCTCGTCCCCCTCCTCCTCCTCCTCCTCCTCCTCCTCCTCCTCCTCCTCCTCCTCCTCCTCCTCCTCCTCCTCCTCTCCTCCCCCTCCTCCCCCTCCTCCTGGGCCCTGGCATTCGCTTTTCTGAACCCTGGCCCCCCGTCGCCCCGGGGGGGAAGGGGGCCTGCAGCAGCTTGCCCTTGGCCGGCGGGCAGGTGCGGCGGTGCGTGCGCAGGCCGTCTGGCACGGGGGGGCGGGGCGGGGCGGGTTCGTCGTCGTCGTCGATCGTCGTCGTCGTCGTCGTCGTCGTCGTCGTCGTCGTCGTCCTCCTCCTCCTCCTCCTCCTCCTCCTCCTCGTCGTCGTCGTCGTCGTCGTCGTGGCCGTCGTGGCCGTCGTCATTGTCGTCGTCGTCGTCGTCGTCGTCGTCGTCGTCGTCGTCCTCGTCCTCGTCGTCGTCGTCGTCGTCGTCGTCGTCGTCGTCGTCGTCGTCGTCGTCGTCGTCGTCGTGGTCGTCGTCGTCGGGGGGGCAGCAAACCTGCAGCTGCGCCCGTCCGTTCCCTGCCCTCCCCTCCCCTCCCTTCTCAGCCCTCCGTCCCGTCCGTCGCTCCCCTCTGTCCCGCTTTCCCCTTTCCTCTCCGTTGTGGAATGGAAAGGCATCGCTGGATTATAGATGGAAGTTGTCTCAGTGCGGCGGGAAGGGGGCGTAGCTTCGATGCCAAAGGCCCGACGATTCATTTGAGCACGCGTGACAGCAGGGAAGATGGGTGATACCAAACACAACCATAGGCAGAAGCAGGATAGGTTTAGGAACGAGCAGGAATACACACCTCCTGCACGGCACTCATGTTAGGTGCAAGCTGACGGGGTCTTTCAATGATGCACCCGCTCTTGATTGTCGTTCCAAGTTTGTTCTAGATACGAAAACGACCGAAATAAGAACGAACCTGAAACGAAACAGGACCGAACTAGAACGTCGCACCGCTGATAAAGTCGAACCTGTAACGAAAGCCAAACGAAAACGCATACATGTACCTATACGACCACCCTTCGGGTGTTAGGGTTGTTGGGGGGAGAGGGGGGAACCAACATCTGACTCAATCGATCTCACTATCGATCTCACTCAACGGGACACCACGGGACACCACGGGACACTAGTCGATCTCACTATTCGATCTCACTATCGATCTCACTATCGATCTCACTCAACGGGAAACCACGGGACACCACGGGCCACCACGGGCCACCACGGGACACCACGGGACACCGCGGGACACCTCTCGATCTCACTATCGGTCTCAATGTCGATCTCACTATCGATCTCACTCAACGGGACACCGTATGACACCACGGGACACCTCGGGGCACCACATCGATCTCAGTATCGATCTCAGTATCGATCTCACTCCACGGGACACCACGGGACACCACGGGGTACCTGTCGATCTCACTATCGATCTCACTTTTTGGGACCTCGGGACACCTCGGGGCACCACATCGATCCCAGTATCGATCTCACTATCGATCTGATTATCGATCTCACTCAACGGGACACCACGGGACACCACGGGACACCTGTCGATCTCACTATCGATCTCACTATCGATCTCACTTTTTGGGACACCACGGGACACCTCGAGGGAACCACATCGATCTCAGTATCGATCCCAATATCGATCCCACTATCGATCTCACTATCGATCTCACTTTTTGGGACACCACGGGACACCGCGAGCCACCGCCGGACGGACGGACAGACGGGCGGGCGGGGGAGAATCATTTGTCTTGAATTCGCCCTTGCAACGGCGGACACCACGGGACACCACGGGACACCGCGGGACACCGCGGGACACCGCGAGCCACCGCCGGACGGGCGGGCGGGGGAGAATCATTTGTCTTGATTTCGCCCTAGCAACGGCCACGCAGCCTCGCCTCGCCCGCACGCACGACACGAGCGAAACGAAACGATTTCCCGGTTGGGGGTCTCCGTTCCGCTGCGACCTCACCCCCCACCCTCCGACCCTCGGACGCCTCAAGGGTCCTAAGACCTCACGCCCAACAAACGGTGCCAGGGGCGTCGGGGCATAAAACACCCGCGCTAGCTTCATGAGGCGGGACAGTGTGCGGGCAGACGGTTGGCTCGGCATGCATCTGCAGGCAGCCCGCGGGTTGTCCTTATCACGGTCACAAGCAACATCTGCATGGCGTGGTTCTCATCACCTCATCCGCTTTCGAAGCAGCGGAGCTGAATCTACTACCGCGGCAGATTGGATATGCGACCCTACGTGAAATGTTACCTGATGCGGAGTGATCGCTTAGATGTGCTGGCCTACTCCTGTGTTCAATATGCTACTGCTCAATATCCAGCGGTTCCCCGAGTCGCGGCGCATCGCATAGTGTAGCTGAGAGAAGTCAATGCCCAGAGGTCCACGCCCGAAGCGCTTCAATCAAATGGCAATGCTTCAGACACTGGCAGCACGTACCCGACCCGACCCGCGCAGCATCTCCAGCGACGGTGCACTCGTTGATGCCACGTGTCCTGCAGGTCGGCGTGCGTCCGTTGTGCGATTGCGATGCTCGCCGGCGATGCGCGGGCAGCTGAAGTCTGCGTCGATGGTGCTGGCTGGGTCGACGAGGGGGTGGAGTATAGCAGCGGCTGCCGCGGCACTTGACGAGGCGCTCGACGCAGCCTCCTGCGCGGCGCTCGGTGATGAGGAATGGCTCCTTCTGCCACATGTCCTTCGCCCCCTCCCGCGTGCTCGCGTGCTCGCGCCGCGGGGGGGCCGCTGGGCCCCCGTCGGGCGGAAGCTTCCCGGCGGCACTCCGTCGCGCCGCTCTCCCCTGCGACCTTGGACCTCTCCTGGAGCAGCTCCGCGCTGGAGCTGCTCGAGCCATCGCCGTCGACTGGCCCGTCTGCGGGGGCGACGCGGGCGTCTGCCGACGGTCACAACCGCTGCCGGCTCGCTCCAAGATTTTGGCATCTCGGGGGGCACGCCCAGGAAGCTACTTGGGCCAGCGCGGCCCCTCTGTGGCCGCAGCGAGCCCGAGATGGCCCCCCAAATGGCTCAACCTTTCCCAAGATGGCCACCATAGGGCGACGAGATCTATGCATATCCACTGCTCCTGGCCAGGCCAATCCTGGGCCCAGGAGCGGTGTATACGCCCTCCTGGCCTGGCCAGGGAGGCATATACACAGCTCCTGGGCCCAGGGGCCTGGCCAGGAGCAGTGGATATGTATAGATCTCGTCGCCCTACACCAGCATGCCTCCAAGAAAGGGCCCAGGAACGCCCCGTGACGGCGCCCCACGGCCACGGAGGTCCCTGCGCAGGCGAGGCGAGGCGCTGGTCCGTCGTCCTGGGGGGGACGGCCCCACGAGGGCCTGGCGGCGGCGCCGGGGCGCGAGAAAAAACGGCAGAGCGAGGCGGAAGGAGGGGGGGACGTAAGACCTGGGTACAGGGGACTCGGAAATCCCCGACGAGGTCGTCAAAAAAATGACGAGGCCGAGCCTGCATTTTGACGAGGCCTCCCGCTGCAGACATCCCACGAAACTCCTCCTCGTCAAAATCCGAGGCGCGGTCGTCAAAAAACGATGGCGAACCCGAGTCCTGGCAAACCCGGGTCTTACGCTCCCCCGAAAGGAGGGGGGAGGGGGGACTCAGGTCGGGGTGCTCGAGCTTCGCGCGCAATCCCCAACGCTGACATGTGCCAGGAATTTCGGCCCCAGTGCCGACCACGCTTACTTGTCCGTCGCAGTGTGCATCTGCCTGTTGTGATCGTCGTCCGAGAGGAGGCCCCCGTGAAGCCCCAAGAAAGGGCCCCAGAGCCACGGAGACCCCCAGCGTGGTCCCAAGATTGCCACGGCCACGCTGCCGACGGGCCCCCGTAATTATCAAGAGGGCCGCGAAGGCCTCTGTTGCTGCCTCCCTGGCCTGCTCCAGCTGATCTCGATCTTCGGCTCCTGCGCACCACCACCACCACCACCACCACCACCACCACCACCACCACCATGACCGACCAAGCAAGACGAAGCCAGGAGGAAGACAACTCCAGGTGAGGCTAAGCCGAACATCTATGAGGTCTGGCGACTCTGAAGGATGTCTTGCGGGCGCTTGCGCCGCGGCTTTCTCAGATCGCTCCCGAACGCTCCGAGAGAGCTCTGGAACGCTATGAAACGGATTTATCCTCGTCCTGGCCCCGTCCGACCAAGGCCGTGGCCAGGATCGCCAAAGCGAAGCATGGCGGTGGTCTGTCTCCAGGCATGCGATGTCTTGATTCGTTCAATATCGACGGTGGACGAACCTCCCTTTAATAAACCTCCCTTCAGTGAAAACGGCCTGGGACCGAAACCGACGGACCTGGACCAGCAAAAATGACGGCCGCGACGCCTTCTCGCGAACCGAAAACGGCCAATTCCTTAATCGACGCGTCAGGGTAATTTGGAGGTCTGCCCACCCCCGACAATACACGGTCCCCCAAACCCGACCCGTTCCCTGGGGCGCAGGATTTGCATCCCCGGGTCGTTCTTTGCCGGTCCTCGGGGCCCGGAGAGGGCCCACGGCGGCCGAACACGGCCAGAAACCTTCCGTCGAGTTTCTTCAAGGACGCAAGCACGTCTGGGTCGGGTACTGCCGCAAGTGTTGTGGATACCATGACACTGGACACTCGGAACAATCCTATCATCGGATTGAACATGTGTTCGAAATGTGTAGAGCATGTTCTAAGAAGGTTTCAAACATGTTTTTACATAGTCAAAACATGTTCGAAACATTTTTAGACATCTGGAAGTTATTTGGCAGCCTGCTTCCTCTCCAATAGTCGACTTCCACGACGCAAGTGGCTTCGGGCCATAACCCAACCCTCCGACGGCGGCTCGGGACGCTCCGGGCGCTCCCGGGATGCCCCCACCCAGACGCAGCGGATAGCGAGCATCCCGCTGCTGGAAGACCTCGGGAAGCGACGAAGACGTGAGAAAAAGACCCAAACTCCAAGCCCTCCTCTTCCCTAGCTGTCGTCGTCTCCCTCCTCGGCCGCGGAGTCTCCTTTCCTCCAGAACCCCGCTGCGCCCCTTTTCACCCGAAGCAGGGCACGGCGGTGCATCGGGTACTTCCGCGGAGTCCCCGCTCCTCCTCCTCCTCCTCCTCCTCCTCCTCCTCCTCCTCCTCCTCCTCGTCCTCGTCCTCGTCCTTGTTCTACAATTACTCAATATGAATACTACTCTCCCTCTTCCCCTGATGACGGAAT